AATTAAATATCCTTACTCATATAGTATACTTTTACTATTTATATGCTTCATATTTTCATAACATAGATTAATGTTATTTTCTTTAAAAATGAGATAGTCGGAATATTACAGAGTATTATTTGGTGGTAAAAAATTTAAGCAAAAAATTAAAACACCTTCCAATTACAAAGCAACAACATTTAATGAAATTGTTTTAGTTCTAGACTTTTTTTCAAGTCATATTTTCAAGCTCCTCCACATATAAAAGAGAATCCATAACTATAATATACCACGTATAAAAAAACTCTTTTTATACGTAGTTAAATAATATGCCCTCTAGCTCGAATATATTATCACACTTTATCTTTTTTTGGACAACCTATGCAAATTTGGACAACAAGTAAATAACAATAATATTTATTTAACTAAGAGAATCACCGAGTATAATTACTACGTATAATGGTACATGATAAATGTTGAAATATTGGAATAATAATATTGCTCCATGAATTATGGAGTACATGATAGAGTATATATAGGAGACACTCCTAACACAACTAGGAATAAAGAATGAAGTCTAACTAAAATACAACATATACCACAAATAGGATCAGGAAGCTGACTAATAATGAAACACTACCATAACCAATACTACAAGAAGTACTATTAGTATTATTGTCTAACATCCCCCCTCAAGCTGAACTCTGGCTGAAGCAAGAGGAAGCTTGGACACTAGCTGGAAACAGGAAACTTTGAGAAGAGAGAAGTCTGACATGCGCCGGTGGCTGCTCACGTCGTTGGAGAAGAGAGAAATTGACGTGCGCTAGTAGCTGCTGACGTTGATGAAGAAGAGAGAAGGTTGGCGTGCGCTTGTAGCTGCTGACGTCGAAGAAGAATAGAGAAGGCTACTGGAGGTGCCTGTTTGAGTGAAGATCCTTGACATTTTTTGTCTTTTTCTTGGATCCGGGCAATGCCCTATTTCCTTTTTGAAGGGGTTAGTTATAGAGGTCTTATTTCCTCTTTCACTACTTCCACTCTTGGCTTTGGTTTTGTGCTGATTTACTTTAGATTTTTATTGGTTCGACAGAAAGAAAGAGCATGGAGGTTGATGATTAGAATGAGTGATTTTAGAGAGAAAAAGTAGGTTAAGAATTGGTGATGGAAAAAAAATTGGGTCTGAGATTTTGATATGGTGAATTAGAGAGAAACAACAATCATTTTTTTATTCTTTTTTTTGAGAAGATAGGATGATCTGAGAGAGGTTGTGAGGAGTTGAGTTTTTTTTTTGAAGAACCATGGAGATGACAAGAGAGAAGTTCCTCCTTTGATTGTTTTTTTTGTGTGTGATTTTAATAGGTTTTTTTTCTTTTTTTTGAATGGAGAAGTTGATTTGAGGATAAAAAAGAAAAAGAAAATAAAGGTGAATAGGGTGGAGTCGCCGTCGCCGGAATTATCGGCGGCAGTGGTGGGAGCAAAGAACCTTTTTTTTAGGTCACCAAGAACGGTGGCTCTGATACCATGTTGAAATATTGGAATAATAATATTGCTCCATGAATTATGGAGTACATGATAGAGTATATATAGGAGAGACTCCTAACACAACTAGGAATAAAGAATGAAGTCTAACTAAAATACAACATATACCACAAATAGGATCAGGAAGCTAACTAATAATGAAACACTACCATAACTAATACTACAAGAAGTACTATTAGTATTATTGTCTAACAATAAATCGTTGAAGAATTGCGAAGAAATGTTATCGGTGCAATTGTTGTATTAGGAAATAATGTCGCGGAGAAAGTTTACATACTCCAGATTAATTTGGTACCGTCTGATCCTTGATTACCATTGAGGTTTCAAAGAAGACAACTTTATGTTTCAGTTTCAAGAGTGAAAACAAACACAAAATTGAAAGTGTTTGTTTTTTATGATAGCGGTAATCCTTGCAACAAAACAAAAATTATTGTATACCCTCATGTTTTCCAAAAGATTTGGATTTAAAATTATAGCTTTACATGTTCTTTTTGTTTTGTATATATATGAATTTCGGATATCACATATTTATGGTATATTGCCCATTAAATTCTACACTTCGATATTGTAATTCACTTTATTTATTGTCATTCACTAAGAAGAAAAAAAATAACTGAGGTGACATAATTATATTTTCTTCGTTACGACGTTTGAATAACTACAATATGATTTTTTTAAAATAAATACTTTCTTCATCCACAAATTTTCTTTGTTACGACGTTTGAATAAAGTTAGTTTTAATTCACTTGATATGATGATTCGTGTAAAGTTAGAGGTGACATAATTATATAATTTTCACACATAATAGGTATCAAATCTCTATTATAGAGTTTTGTTTTATAAGGTTTAAGAAAGGGGGACGAGATGAGAGTGGTTTTTTGCTTTGTTAGTAGAATTATAGGACTCAAGCATTTACAAATAAAATGGACATTCATCTATAAGAAATATAATCATTTTTTTTATAATGAATGATTTCCTACTACTTATGTAACCAAAGAAAATTAGATTTAGATTCTTTAAAAACTATTTTTTCTCACAACAAAAAAACTCTAAAACTCAAAATCTAAAAGAACATTGTCTTTAATAAAAAATTATAGAATATAACAAAATTTCGTTCCACCCGTGCATGGCACGGGTTAAAACACTAGTATGGGAAGAATTCTACACAAGAATACCACCAGGAAAATCCAAACGGTCTTGGTGAGTGTTGGTGAGTGTAGGGAGTAATTGCTTTTAGTTACTCGGAAAAATGCATTCAGGCATAGGATGTGGAAAGATTTGTTTATAAGTGTCTAGAATTTAGCCTTGTAAACAGGAGAGAGTTTTTTGTATATTTTCCTGAAATAGTGGTGATGATGTAAATATAGATGGGTGGGATAACCGGGTTTGACCTGGACAAACTCGACCCGTCAATAAAATACACACAACAAGAACACAAAGTATGACCTAGACTGGTAAATCTCCTCAGTCCGAATTATATTTCTTACTCTATCTCAAGAGTGAACTTTAGTGAGAGAAAATTGGATCTCCTCCTCTATCCACAATCATCATATTTATATAGGAGGATTTGTGACCTTCCCATGTTCATCCATGGACAAAATAGGAAGCCCGTGGCAAGGTCACTGTAGTTAATTGAAGCACTGTACAATCATAGAGTTTAATAGCTACAAGCCAAGACACTGTTCAATCAAAGACTAAAATGGATATTCTCAATCCAATCAACCATGCAAAATGACAAACATCCCTTTCACTGTGTGCCTCGTGATCGACGAGCGGCGGGGTGTTCCCTTGACCTTTGACGTGGTTCGCCCTGCCTAAGAGACTGGACCAATGTTAGCCAAGTCAAGTTACGTGACCGGTCACCTTTCCTCAAAGGCTTCCCGTTCATCTTTTGAGTTCAGCCTGTCTCTTTGGTCCTCTAGAATATCCTTCGTAACATTAGGTGACATTTTTCGCTATCGCCCAAAATGTGACCGGTCACTTTTTGAGGAAAACTTTTGACCCGTCCCAATCGAAGAGTTAACCTCATTTGGTGATTGATGAAAGTGACCGGTCATGTTTTGACCTGTCCCTTTCGGTTATCCGGGTCGGGTATAGGGATATACCCATCAAGAAGTCCTCCACTTACCGGCCTTGTGAGGAAATCATCAAGGGCGGGAAGTATACTTGTGTATCACACTTGAAATCATCAAGTCACCCTCGCTCACCAATCCTTTTGCATCACCAAGTCTCTTCACCTGACCTGTCCTTTTGAATCATCGAGCCTTTCCCTTTCAGACCTGCCCTTCTTTGTAACCATCAAGTCATTCTCGTTGACCTATCTTTTTGGATCATCAAGCCTTTCTTTTTAAAGACTTGTGCTTCTTTGAATTATCAGGCCTTTCCTTTCAGACCTGTCACTTTTGGGAATTATCAGGCCTTTCCTTTTCAGATCTGTCCTTTTTTGAAATCAAAATCATCCTCGTCGACGTGTCCTTTTCCTTCTTTGGATCATCAAGTCTTTCTATCTGACCTGTCCCTCTTTTGAATCTTCAAGTCGTATATTCAGACCTGTCCATTTTGAATCAATAAGCCATCCCATGACCTGTCATTTTTTGGATCCGTCGCTGACCTGCCATCAATGACCTGTCCTTTTGGATCTGTGGTAGCCCAAACGTTGGGTCTGGCTTTTGGATTTTGGCATTTCCCCCCAAAACCCTTCACCTTTGAAATTCAAAATTTGAATTTCCCCCTTCATCATTATCTTTTTACATGTATCTACCCCTCAGCCGCCCACCTATCGCCTCGAATTCCAACCCTCCTCTCTCTCTCCTATAAATACTCCTTCAACCCACTCCACTCCCTCACTTCTCTTCCTCGCTTCTCTTGTTTCGACCGGTCTACTTTCTCTCTCTAGCTCTCCGCCAAGTAAGTCCCCCAGTCCTCCTAGTCTTTTGTTTTTTCATCTTTCCATTCTTGACCGGTAGGCTTGAGTCATGTCGTCCTCTGATAGCCAGAATGTGTCCAGTCATTCCTACGGGTCGGGCTCTCGGCCCTCTTCCTCTTCCCACTCTGAATCTTCTTCTCCCCCTGTCACTCCTTTGATTCGCCGCCCCTCCCAATAGTCTGGTTCTCAGGCCCGGGAAATAATTGCCCAAGAGCCTATCCCTTTGAACCAACTGCCCAGCCGGTTCAATCCCAAGGTCCTCAGTTGGGACCAATGAGAAGAGCGACTGGGATCGCTGGGCTACTTAGCCCTTGACTCCGGAACGATCTTCAAGGAGTCCTCTAGGGTCACAAAAAAGGTTCTGGACGAAGTCCGTTCTGTCCTTCCACCGGGCTACAAAATCCTCTCCAAAACTTCATGGCCCAATATCATTGAACCCCACCAAGGAAACCGGTTGGGTTTTCACGTTGCTTCGCTGGAGGGAGGCATTATCTTTCCCCTTCGCCCCCTCCTCATAGAAATCTGTAACAAGTTCAATATTTTGTCCAGTCAGCTCACTCCAAATGCTCATCGGTTCTTGAATTGTTTTGTCAATATTTGTGATTCTCTAAAAATCAAACCTTCCCTCGATCTTTTCCTTCACATGTATGATGTCTTTCCCGGGACTAGTAACTGCCCGGGCTTTGTTTACTTCCATTCCCGACCCAACTCTAGGGGTTTTCTGACCGGTCTTCCCCCTAGCCATAAGAAATGGAAGCAAAGATTTGTTTTCATTGAGTTCCCCTCTGACCAATTTCCACTCTGTAACAGTGAGTGGGCTGACCGGGTTATAAAACCTGAAAGGGTTCACCCGGAGACCACTAAAGAGCTTGAGGACGCCTGCGAGAAACTTCTCAAGGGTGATCCCGTGACCGGTAAGCCATACGCCTATGGTGGATGGGTATACCGGTTACCTAACCCGGATGGGGGTGTGTCTCGACCCATGATGCAGAAGATGACCGGGCCAAGTCCCCGGATGGTCATGCTGAGGGCAGTTCTCCTCATCCAGGTTAGTCACCTTTCTTCAAACTCTTTATTTTACATTTTCCTTAAGGTAAAATGTTTAACCGGTTGCTTTGTTCTTTTTGACAGACATGAACTTCACCAGGATGTCCACCATCTTCGAAGATGACGACGATGATGTTGAAGTCCTCCACTCCAACCGGTCTCCCAATAACAACCCTCCTTCCCCTCCTCAAAACCCTGGGATGGAAGGAGCTTCATCTGCCCGGGACGCCTCTCTTGACGATCTCATTCGAGACAAGGTGAAGTCCCCCTCAACCCTCCATCTCTCTGAAAGTGACCGGGCGAACTCACCGAAGATCGAGGTCAAGGGTAAAGGAAAAGCCACCGGTCATCCTTCTTCCCACGCGAAATCTCATAAGAGGAAGGGCTCTCACAAGACTTCCAGGGGTGAAAAGAAGATGAAGGTCCGGTTATCTGACCTGGAGGGGGAATCCATCGAAGAAACATTCTTAGCTTTGGCCAAGAAACTTAGCAAGGTATTACATCTTTGATTTTCCTCCCGGTTAGATTTTTTCCTTTGCTTTAATTGATACATCTCTTTTTTGAATTTGTAGGCCGGGGTCATTTCAGAAGAGATTGGTCAAACACTTTTGGAGCCAAAGGACCAGGTTTCCCAACTCACCCTCCTCCTTGATTTTGCCAAGTTGGAGATTAATGACCGGGCAGAAAGGGAGAGGAGGCTTGAGGAAGAGTTGAAAGAATAAAGGGCCAAGCTGGTGGAGGAGAAGAGAAAGGTGGCCGAGCTGGAGGATGCGCTGGGCCAAGCTGAGGAATCTGCCCAGGCAAAGGAGCAGTCTTTTCCTGGTGATGCTACGACTTGGGCGACTTGCCATCACACTTAAGTTGCCCGGTCCATTCTCACCAATCCGGAGGACACCATGGACTTTTTCAAAGTCATGTATAAGGAACCGGAAGGGAAGAGAATGATAACAGACGTCGGGTCTTATGGGTTTCAGTGTGGCCAAAAGGAAGAGAGATCTCTTCTCTATGCCAGACTCCAGAAGAAGGACCCTTCTTTTGACCCGGCCAAGTTGAAGCTTCCAGCCCTATACAAGGAAGAGCCAACCCCCCCTTTCCCATTGCAGTAGGTTAGGGTATTTTTTTTTTAAGAAACTCTGAATTTTCCCAAGGCCTGGGGGATGTCCGGCCTACTTTTGACTTGTAACATTAACTTTTCATGATATGTTCTTGAATTTTACCGGTCATATTTGCTTCCAGTTGTATGGTTGAACTTCTTTTCTTGCATTGTTATTATCTCTTGCATGATTGATTTCCTTGACCGGTCACCTTTTGAAGTTGCTTGGTTATACTTGCCTTTTATTGAACATGCTTGATTTAACTTCCAAGTCAAAAACAATAACCGGTCTTATCCCTTTGGAGTTGTCCAGGTCATCTCATGTCCTGGTAGGCTTTGTTGAAAGCGTCCAGGTCTTTTCATGTCCTGGTCAATTTCATCTCTTGAAAATGTCTAGATCTTGTAATCTTGAAAACGTCCATGTCTGGTACGTTTTTGAAGCGTCCAGGTTTAAACCTTTATTTTCATCAACTCTATAAACGTCCAGGGCACCTCACGTTTGGCTAGTCTTATGGGCCGGCTTACTTCTAGGTTGAACTGCAACAGATGTCCAGGTCATCTCATGTCCTGGTTTAGTAGGCCAGGTTGAAAGTTTTGAAGATCATTTTAGATGTAAGGCTTGAAAACTTCCAGGTCATCTCATGTCCTGGTCTCCAGGTTGAAAACGTCCGGGTCATTTTGTTTCTGGCTTGTCTTTTGATCCGGTTAACTTCCAGGTTGAAATGTAATAAACTTCTAGGTTAAATTCGTCCTGATCAACTTCCAATGGTTTGGTTGCATCACGTCACCAGCATGACATCAAATTTCTGTCCAGGTGCCAAGTCAAAAATATGACCGGTCAAAACCAATTTTTTCAAACTTGCCTGATTTCCTCACATCCAAATTTTGAAAAGTGACCGGTCACTTTTCTCAAAGTTGACTGGTCAAATATTGATTTTTTCCATCTGCCTTTTCTCGTCAATCTAGAACATCTAAAAGTGACCGGTCATTTTTGACCATGCCCTTTTCATATCCCATCTGGCCTGTTTATCGTGTTCAACACCGACCTCAACCAAGCTTCGAACGAATATTCCGAAACAGTTTTCGTCTTAAGTCTCAACATCAAGACCCGACCTTTTTTCGGAGATTTTGACCATGTCCTATAGTTGCGAACCCTCTCCAAGGTTCAGCCCTCTTCCAGGCAACACCCTTCTTCCAAGGCCCCTCTTCCAGGTTTTAAGTCTTTTAATGTGCCATTTTCTAATCATTAGGTTGACCTAGCCAACCCAATCTTCCCTCATGGGGGTATGCCAGTGAGAACCAGCCCTCATCCAATCTTACATGTCCATATGTTATGCGTTTGAAGTGAATTCTAGTTTTCCCTAGACCCTTCAATCTGCAAAGGATGGCTCATGCAAGACGGTAAAACATTTTTACTTTGGCATCTTTTTGCCCCTATCCAAACGAAAATTTGGTAGGGATCCATGTAAGTATGGACGCGAGTCCTCTTCCAGACCCAGCCTATCTCAAGGCCATACCTCAACATCAAGGCCCCTATCTCAAGGGTTTAACTCTCTTTTTTTGACCTTGCCTATTACATCAAGACATTTTATTTTAGTATTACTGACCCAGCAACACAAATATTGAAGAAAGCTCTTACTTATCATCGAAGGGGTATTAAAAATACATGCCCTGCCAATTTGGCCTATCGGTAGAATTTTCTAAGGTGGTGGGAATTACAGCACCTTTCCAACTCTCGACCTTCCATTGTTTCTAATTTGTATGTCCCAGGGCGTAGTATTCCTGTGATCCTATATGGGCCTTCCCATTTCTTTGCAAGTTTTCCCCCGTCTCCGGGTTTGCTGGCCTCCCTTCGTCTCAGGACTTCATCACCCACTTGGAAGTATCGAGGCCCTACCTTGTTATCATGATAGGCCTTGGCTGCCTGCTGATATTCTATCATTTTAGCCTCAGCGACCATCCGCCTTTCCTCCAACAAGTTCAACTCCGCCAAGTGATCCTCTTCATTCCCTTTCTCTTCATAGACCTTCTCCCAAAAGGTCATTATTTTAGCTTCAATTGGTAGTCTGGCCTCACACCCATATGTAAGGACGAAGGGTGTCTCCCCTATGGCCCTTCTTGAAGTGACCCGGTAAGCCCAGATGATATGTGGCAACTCCTCTAACCAATTCGTTCCTACCTCACCCAACCGCTTTTTGATCCCATCGACTATTATGCAGTTCGCATTCTCCACCTGGCCATTCCCTTGCGGGTAGGCCACGGAAGCCTTGTTGTGAGTAATCCTGAAGTCCTCCAAGTATTTGGTGAACCCTGGATTCCGAAATTGAGGCCCGTTATCCGTCACGATGTTCCGTGGAGACCCGAACCGAGTGATGATGTTCTTCCAAACGAAGCACTGGCATTGCTTGGTTGTAATGGTTGCATATGCCTCGGCCTCTACCCATTTTTTGAAATAGTCGATAGCGACTATCACATACTTCTTTCTCCCTTGTGCTTGAGGGAAGGCTCCAATGATGTCCATCCCAAACCTTGCGAATGGAATGACATTGGAAACTGGGTGGTAGTAGGTCGCAGGCCTTCCCGGAAACTTGTAGAATACCTGGAAAATCTTGCGCTTCTGGACATACCTCTCGCAATCTTGGTTCATTGTAGGCCAGAAATAACCTAGCAAAATGATCCTTTGTGCGAGTGTCCTAGACATTTGGTGGGCTGCGCAGACACCCTCATGAACTTCGGCGATCACTCTTTCCGCCTCTGCCCCTGTCAAGCACCTTAGCAATGGACCACCGAATGCTCTTTTGTATAGCCTTCCATCGATCATTTGGAATCTTGGAGCCCTCAACTTTACTTTTCTCACCCTGTCCTCATCTTCAGGGAATTGCTCGGTCATCCATCCAAACGTCATCTGGCTCCACTCGATCTGGATTGGGTTGTCCATCTTCCTCTATCACACTAACAGAAAACCCTTCAATGCTGGCTTTCTCCAGCGTCTCAATCATAGCCAGCTTGGACACATGCTCCGGGGCTGCTTACGTCAACTTTGATAGCAAGTCAGCATCGGTGTTCTCCCCCCTAGGGATTTGCTCCATCACATACTCAGTCAGGTCCTTCAATAGTGCCCTTGCCAAGTCTCTGTACTTCTGCATCTTCTCTCCTTTGGCCTCCATGTTGCCATTGATGTGGCCTACCACCAAGCTTGAATCGGACTTGATCCTGAGGCATGTGATTTGTAAGGTTTTGGCCAATCTCAGACCCCCTATCAATGCCTCATATTCGGCCTCATTGTTTGTGAGCTTGAAATTAAAAATCAAGGCATGATATACCTTAAACCCTTCCGGAGTTGTGAATACCACACCTCCCCATAACCTTTTGGTCCAGAGGCTCCGTCGACCGACATGGACCACCAAAGCTCAGTGATGGCCCTGGCCGGTTCTTCTTCCTGGTGACCCGTCATCTCCACAAGAAAATCAGCCACAGCTTGCCCTTTTATCGCCGTCCTCAGACGATATTCAATGTTGAACGGGGTAAGCATCATGGCCCACTTGATCATTCTTCATGATGAGGTGGAGTCCCTCATGACTGTGCCCAATGGTAGGTCAGTCAGCACGATGATGGGGTGGGCCTCGAAGTAGGAGGTGAGTTTCTTCGCCGTTATGAAAAGTGCATACCCTGCCTTTTCTGTAGGAGTGTACCTACTTTCCGCCCCATTCAAAGCCTTGCTCACGTAATAGATAGGCCTATGGACTCCGTCATCCCTCATCAAGACCAAGCTAACGGCCATTTGGGTCACCCCCAGGTAGAGGTATAGGGTCTCCTTCGTTTCTGGTTTGGACAGGACAATGTCGGAAGTCAGGTATGTCTTTAGTTCCTTGAATGCCCTGGCGCATTCCTCATCCCACTGGAAGGTATTGGCTTTCTTTAAAACCTTAAATAAAGGCAAGGCCTTTTCTGCCGACCTAGACAAGATTCGGTTTAAGGCTGCTAAGCACCCTGTTAACCGCTGGACATCCCTTACTGATGATGGGGGTTGCATCTCCACAATGGCCTTGATCTTCTCAGGGTTTGGTTCAATCCCCCTCTTTGTCACCATGAAGCCCAAGAACTTCCCCGTCCTTACAGCAAACACACACTTCTTTGGATTAAGTCTAAGATTATGCCTAGCCATAATCTCAAAACATTTTTCCAGGGCTTGAGTGTGCGTGCTGGCTGCCCTGCTTTTCACTAGCATATCATTGACATAGGCCTCCATGGTCCGTCCAAGCAAAGGCCTGAACAATTTGTTGACCATCCTCTGGTAAGTTGCCCCTGAGTTTTTCAACCCAAAGGCCATCACCCTATAACAGTATGTGCCGTCCGGAGTGAGGAAGGTCGTCTTCTCCTCATCGTCTTCTGCCATGAAGATTTTGTGAATCCCCTTTGAAGGCATCCATGAAACTGAGCAATTCACACCCGGTGGTTTCATCAACCATTTGGTCCTGGCTAGGGAGAGGATAAGAATCCATCGGACATGCCTTGTTGAGGTCTGTGTAGTCCACACACATTCTCCAAGTATCACCCTTCGGAGCCAGGACTACATTGGCCAGCCACTCATGGTAGTTTACTTCCCTTATATGACCTACCTCAAGTAGGTCCTTGACCTCCTTCTTCACAAAGTCCCTCCTTTCACTTGCCAAGAATCTCTTCTTCTGTCTTACAGGCCTAGACCCCTCAAGAACAGAGAGACGATGGCAAATGACTGACCGGTCAATCCCGGGCATGTCAGCAACACTCCAGGCAAATAATGATTTATACCTGGTCAGCACCTGGACAATCTCAGTCCTTAGCTCTTCTTGAAGATCTGCCACGATCCTGACCTTCCTCTCGGGGTTAGCGGTATCAATCTAGATCTCCTCCGTGTTTGCATATGGCTCGATCCTAGCCTTCTCCTCACCTTTGTCTACCTGCTGGGAGACCAGTTCAATTTGTTCGAACTGGCGGGTCATCTTCTTGACCGCTTCTAGATAACAGGACCGGGCATTCTTTTGATGTCGACCACAACAAATCTCATTTGTTTGGTCACTGTCCTGTTACCCGACCCCAAGGTAACTGACAAGGTTATCTGACCTTCTGCTTCTATGCTAGCTCCTGTGAAGCCTGACAATGGAGTTTGCAATGGTCTCAACATGGACCTGTCCAACTTCAATTTCTTGAAAGCGTCTAAGTATAAAGCGTTGACACTGCTTCATGTGTCAACCAGGACTCTGGATACATCAACTCCATTGATATCCATTATAATCACCAAAGGGTCATTGTGATCTCCCCCCGTCCTAGGCAGATCTTTGTCAGTGAAAGTGATAGGTTCCCTCCTTGCCTACTTCCCTTGTGATTCCAGGGAAACCACCACTACGTGCATGCTCCTGGCCCAGTTCTTCCGCTGGGAAGCAGTGTCCCCGCCTTCTAGGCCGCCGACAATCATCTCTATGAATTCTTTATCCAGCTTGTTGTTATCCCTGCATTTCCTCCTTCCTTGATCCTTTTCCTGAGGACGGGTCCAGTTGTGTGCTTTCGGATCTTTCTTGTTTCCCGTCGCATAACCTTCCCTAAGCTCTCCCTTTAAGGCCATCTCCTTGAGCACAGCCTTGACATTTCGGTAATCTGCCGTATTGTGGGAGTCGGATTGGTGGTAGGTACACCACTTCTCTGTCCAAGGCCGCTTGGGTTGTTCTCCTTTCTTCTCATCCCTTATTTGATGGACAGACCCGTCACACGTGGCCTTTGGTTTGGACCCTCCCGTCTGGTCGTCTTTCTTCGGCTTGTCGGTTTCACCTTTGTATATCCTTCCTCCAATTCCCGCTTGCTTTTATTCAAGACCTCCGCCTCGGCATACTCCCATGCCGTATTGCAGGCTTCTTGGTAAGAGGAGGGTGGCCTCCTACAGAATTCGGTGTAGAGGTTACCCGACCGGAAGGCATTCATCAGCAAAGACATGGTCGTCTTGTCGCCCATCTCTTCTACCTTGTCAACCTCGTCCCTCCAGCGGGTCAAGAATTGAGTCAAGGACTCCTTCTCCTTCTGCCCTACCGTGTTAAGGTAGGTGAACTTCTTCCTCTTGAGGCAGTTGTCCTGGTACTTCTTGCGGAAAACTTTGGAAAGTTTCTCAAAGGACCCGATCTTGCCATGGGGAAGGCCGTTAAACCATTCCACTGGCCTCCCTCTCAAGGATGAGAAGAAGAGTAGGCATTCCTCAGCATCAGTGCACCCGGCCATCTGTGCTGCATTGTGGAAGGTGTCAAGGTGGACGTTTGGATCCTCCTTTCCTGCGAATTTCTCCACGTCCAGCTTAATCTTCCGCCTCAACTTCTGCGCATGTACCCTGGCCGAAAAGGGAGATTTAGCCAGGGTGTGCTTTTTCGCTCCCGCCTTCGCTTCCACCTTTTCCTCCAGGGCACGTAGCTTTCTTGCTACGCTCCCTATCTTGTCCAGGTCATCCTCATCGTATGAGAGCCTGGTATATGCCGACGCTCTGGGCTGGCTTTCTGCTTCCTCCTCGTCTTGGTGAATCGTCTCAGATTCCCTAGAACGACGAGATTGGGCGTGACGACTCCCGACAAGTCTTTCCATTGCGCTAGTCCGGCCCATCTCAGGACCAAGACGTAGCTTGGCAGACTTGCGGGGTCCATCTTCCTTGTCCCCTAGGCGTTTGAACGCTGAATCCCGAGTTTTGTTGGGCTTGGCTATAGCCTTACCCTTTCTTCTGCGGGCCGCCTCTTGCTCCGCCTCGTCGACCTCATGGACATTTGAGGGTGCTGCTTCATTCATGGTCCCCATCAAATTCACCGGGCGTATAGGGACCATCCTAGGGACAAATGTCGACGGGGTCGACACCGGAGGTGGCATAATTGGTGGCGTCATGCCAGGATAGGCAAATGGCATGAAGCCCCCTGCCTGTTGCATCATGGCCATCACCTGTTGATAGCCCTGTAGAGCCTGAGCATTTGCCGGGTCAGCAGCAAATTGAGCCCAAGCTGACGAGTATGGTGTGAATGCTCCCCAAGGCGTTGTTATCGAACCTGGGAACATTGTTGTCGTTGGCGTAGGAGTAGGGGTCGACATGATTGGGATCATGCCAATTGATCCTACCGTGGTGATCGGGGAAAAGGTTGTCCCCATGCTTGTCATCGGGATGGCAGGAGTGCTTTCACTCGCAGCTTGGCTTGACACAGTGTTGTGGTTGCTTGAAGACATGATTGTGGATATTTAGTGGGGGTAAAGTTTTGACCGGGTCGAAAAAACTTTAAAAATCGGTCCCACGGATGGCGCCAAAAATGATGGTGTAAATATAGATGGGTGGGATAACCGGGTTTGACCTGGACAAACTCGACCCGTCAATAAAATACACACAATAAGAACACAAAGTATGACCTAGACCGAGTAAATTTCCTCAGTCCGAATTATATTTCTTACTCTCTCTCAAGAGTAAACTTTAGTGAGAGAAAATTGGATCCCCTCCTCTATCCACAGTCATCATATTTATAGAGGAGGATTTGTGATCTTCCCTTGTTCATCCTTGGACAAAATAGGAAGCTCATGGGAAGGTCACTCTAGTTAATTGAAGCACTGTACAATCATAGATTTTAATAGCTACAAGCCAAGACACTGTTCAATCAAAGACTAAAATGGATATTCTCAATCCAATCAACCATGCAAAATGACAAACATCCCTTTCACTGTGTTCCTCGTGATGGATGAGCGGCGGGGTGTTCCCTTGACCTTTGACGTGGTTCGCCCTGCCTAAGAGACTGGACCAATGTTAGCCAAGTCAAGTTACGTGACCGGTCACCTTTCCTCAAAGGCTTCCCGGTCATCTTTTGAGTTCAGCCCATCTCTTTGGTCCTCTGGAATATCCTTCGTAACATTAGGTGATATTTTTGGCTATCGCCCAAAATGTGACCGGACACTTTTTGAGGAAAGTGACCAGTCATATTTTGACATGTCCCTTTCGGTTATCCGGATCGGGTATAGGGATATACCCATCAAGTGGAAATATAATTTTTCTCTCATATATTCTTCTTTTGTTTGTTCTCTCATTTTCTAGTGTTCTCAATATTTTTTAGTATCTTACGCGCTTAAAATCCTAACACAGGAGTGGGAGCGGAAGAAAAGAACAAAAAGAATTGGGGTCAAATTGAAAATTTTAAAATATATAAAATTCTAATTTGACCCAAATGAATGGAATTAACTAGGAAACGGGTAAATGAACTTTTAGTGAAAGAATTATGTAAGTTCAGGGATTTTTGTGAAAGGATTTGAAATTTAGGTACCACTTCGAAATTCCAGCTAAAGTTCAGTTAACATGAGTGAAATTTACCCACATAACTTTAATCATATGTCGTTAAGTATAACCGAAAAGTTATTTTGATGCAATCGTAAAAACAATAATTGTATATAAAAAAAATTAAAGCAATATTACGGTCCCGTTTGGCATCAGCGTTAGAGAATAGCATTAATGTTTTGAAAAAGCTATCCGACTGTTACCTTTAGTGTTAACGTTTTCAGAATTAATCTGCATCATTAAAATTTTATTCAAAATGCTAACGCTAATCGAAAACGTTGTTACCAAATAAAGCCTACATCAACAACGTGTTTTTCCAATTCACAAATGATTACTTTGTCTGTTCGTATAGACAAATCTGAGTTGTAAAGTTTTAAAAAAGTAATCGTGGAACATTAGTGTGGACAGTGGACATTATAGAATTGTAGTACTCCCTCCGTCCCTGAGTGTTTGTCCACTTTCATTTTTGCACACCATCTAATGCACTTCTTTAATCCATTTTGTCTTGTAATTTATATATTAAAAAATTATAAAAATTTTATATTAATAATCTATATGTTAAGATGAATCAAACAAGATCACACATGACTATTTTTAGGCTTACACATTGAGAGAATTTGATGAGTCAAAGTGCTTAGGTGAACAGTTCCAAAAGTCAAAAGTGGACAAACACTCAGGGACGGACCAAGTAAGATTTTCTAGCCGTAAATTGTCAATTTGTAGGGCAAGGCGGCGTGGAACGAATTGGTGCAGTTTATGCATAGGGTCCGTTTGGTATATGGAATTGGTGGAATTGGAATTGAATTGGAATTGTAATTCCATGAGATTCAATTCCATAGAATTGAATTAGGTCAATTTCAATTCATTTTTTGCACTATCAATTCCAAATCTACATAATTTTTGTGCTACCAAACAATAGAATTGGAATTGAATTCCCTAATTCCAATTCCATAGTTTGAATTCCATGTTCCAAACGGAGCCATAATCTGTAAGATGGGTGAATTCTTAATTGGTTTTAAGTTTATATTTATTTTATAAACTTTAATATCTGTAAAATAATTGCAAGTATATGTTTGTAAAATTTGCACTAAATAGAACTAAAAACATAATGACTTTCCCAATGTAGGATTTAAACTTTTTAATTCCCTAAATAGGACTTAATAATGACCTAGTGGAAAGAATAATGTCCAATAATGATGGACATTTACTTGAATAATGACTACTTGTTAATGACCAAAAGTCCTACATTGGGAAATAAAAACATATGATCCTATATTGGGAAAGTCATTATTTTTAATCCTATTTAGGTAAATTTCTCTATATGTTTTGAGTCCGGTAAAAAAGAGATCTAATTACGAGTCAATGAAAATATGTGTAAAATACGAGTCAATGAATCTTAGAACTGCAATAGCAGAATTCTAAAATGACACTTCATCCGTCCCAAAAACTCCTTATCATTTTTTTTCTTGTCTCACAAACTCTTTCTTTTTTCTATTAAAAACAATTTTACTCCTACTAATTTTTAACCAACTATTACATTATACTTTTTTACTAATAATTTGTTAATCACATCTTACTTTTATCCATTACATCAAAGGTTATTTTTGGAAAATCAATACAAAAGTATTCCTTCCTTAAATTTTCTAAAAATCAAAATGGGAATATCTTTATGAGACAGAGGAAGTATTATTGAAAGTTTTATTTTGGTATATGAAAAATGTTTAAACCACAATAGCAAAATTCTCTCTCAATATATACATTGGATCAAGTTGAAATGCAATCTAATGAAAGAAATAAGAATACATCTTGTGGATTAGATGTAAAATAATGGTAAATAATTTAATTCAAAAAATCTAAAATATTCTGAAAAAACACGGTGACATTATGGTAAATAATTTGAACTTTACTCCTAGTACCGAAAATGCACTACGACAAGGTAAAAATGAATCGTGACGGAATAAAAATGCATCATTCTCACAATAAGGTCTATTCTCACAGTAAGAGTCATTTTCACTTGAACTAACGCGCGCGCACACGCACACACATATATATACATACACACACACACATACAGATATACATACATACATACACACACACACACACACACACACACATACATACATACACACACACACACACACACACATACATACATACATACATACATACATACATACATACATACATACATATATATATATATATATATATAGACACACACATAATTATACATATACTCCGTATAATTTTTTATTTTTTATTTTACGCCATTTTATACAAATTAAATTAAAATAGCTTACTCAAAGAAATTTGAATCTTTTTATATGAGGGAGGAGTGGTTTATTTTAAAAAAAATGCTACACCCGTCCTATAAAACGTTTTTCTTGATGGTTATTCACACGGTACGGTCAAATTTTAATTTTTTTATTTTTGTTAGTTATTTGAGAAAATAATGTATTCTTGTCATCTCTTTTTTGTAAATTTTTTTATGTAGTTTTTGAAAATACAAATTTAATTATTTAATCTTAGATCTACAATCAAATAAATTAAATAAAAAATAAAGATGGTCAAATCTCGTAAACAAAAACCACGGGAGAGGGAAGAGTGTGCCATATGAAGCGCCGAAGCGGGCAAGACAAATAAATGTGGCCTTGATTCTTTGTTTGGAGGACTAACAGCAGCGGGTCGTGGCAACCAACTACCCTTTATGGTTATGGACGCACTACAAAAACATACAAAAAAAAAACATACTCCGCTTCATATGGCACACTCTCGATATCTATGTTAGAGGACTTGCAGCTAAATATGATTAAATACAACACCTGTTCGGCTATCCCAAAAAAATTCCATTTTAATTTTATGTTTAAGAAAATTGTTTTCTTTTAGTCTCTATAAAATAGATGACTTCGTTTTTAGATCCTATTAAAAATTTTATTTAACTTATCTTTATATTTTTTTATTTAATTTGAAAAATGGTTTTTAAACCTAATTAATTAAGACTTCTGATTTGCTGAGATAACACATTAATTTCGTACCTAACATCTTAGTCTTGCATTTTTAATCACCGCACACACAATTTTCATTCTCTAAATTGTGTTTTTTGCAAACGCACCAATTTTTGGAAATAAAATGCCTTAAATAATCCTACCTTTTCACGCTTTTCTAAAAATAATCCAATTTTCACTGTAGCGGAAAATAATCTCACCTTACTCTATGTGTGCGAGTTTTGGGTCGCCATTAAGAAACTAATGAACTTTTACAAATTGCTTGTTTTCGTATGTAAATAAATGAAAGGTGAAATTATTTTAGATAAATTCACTTTTTTTATTTTAAATTTTAAATTTAATTTTCAAAAATATAACTGTACACTCTTGTAAAAAATTTGTATTATCGATAAAATCATAAGTTTTGTAGGACCATTTTGATACAAATAATACAGGTTTTAGAGTGTTGTTATAAAAAATTGAAATTATAAAAAAATTGAAATACAAAAAATGTAGCGAGTTATAAAAATTATAATTTTATTTCAAAGAAAACATTATTGAGTCATTTTCACAAATGTTGTAATGTTATTCTGTAAAAAAACACATATAGTAAACTATCAAAAAATATTTACGAGTTTTGTAGTGCTATTTTTTTAAAATAATAATAGTATATTATCAAAAAACAATTCGAAGTGCCCCTAAAGAAAATAAATGCAACTTACAAAAAAAGTAATGAGTTATGGAGTAAATAAATTAGTTCCATTTTGTAGAATATTATTGTGATATTTCACAACCTTTTTAATATTATTTTGGTAGAAAAAACGATTTAACAGATTCTCTCTTTAAAAAAATTGATTTGAAATGTATTTTTAATTTTTTATAAATAATACCAAATTTAAGTGTTTTTTAGAGTGACACTAATTATTTTTCAATAATAAATTGTAACAATTCTGGTACGGATTACAACGGGCGGGAAAGATGAACGGCCCCGAAAATAAAAAAAAATAAACAAATAAAATTCTGAATTTATAATTTATTCAGAATATTACAAAATAAAAAAAGTTGAAAATAAATTTCTATATCTTCAAACAGCCTTGTTGTATGAGGGCATTAAGCACTGGACAGCGAGAACATTAAGCACTGGACGGCGAGGACATTAAGCACTGGACTGCAAGGACGTTATGCACAGGGCTGCGAGGACATTATACACTGGGCTGCGAGGACATTATGCACTAGGACAGAATGCAGCGAGGTCTTTATGAACTAATCCTGCAAAACAAAACACCACGGAAGGACAGCGGAGTCGCCGGAGCTGTCCTTAAGGTAGTAGTGCCCGCTTACCGTACCGGAAAAACGTGGACACTCTCCTCCCAGGATAAAACCGCTATCGTGTGTGGAGATTGTACGGACCAACCACATACCAACGAACAAGAACAACGTAGGAACGTTGGCGACCAAAAACTTTGAAGGGGATGGCCGGAAACTTGGCCGGAAAATCAAGAGCTCTCTCTAAAGATTAAACAAGAAAGTTTTTTTTTTCTCTTCTTTCTTTCTCACGTGTAGAGCCCCTCAAGAGGATGGAGAGAGCCTTTGATTTTATAACCAAGCCATTTTAAAAAATTGTAACTCCTACACCATTAACCCATGGCATTTGTGGCACACTTAATACCGTGTTAATGGTGATTAATTAGCCATTAACACGTCCGTTACGCTACGCTCCGTTTAAAATTTGTCCCGAATAATTGGAGAATAATGGCCAGTTAACTCCGTAAAAATGGACTAATTTTAAACAATACGTAAAATTAATAATAGAAGATTGGTTCAATAAAATTGCAAAATTGCAATACCTACCATATTCTTCTATTAACGGGTTAACTCTGAGAATCAATTTCTCATTCACCCTCTACCATTTTTGGCGTATAAATTATCAAAACATTTATCTCATTTAAGAGAACACATGTCCATTAATTAACGGTTAAAACCGTTAGTGGATCTATTGACAAATATACCCAAGTTGGTCCATTTAATGCCAATTAAAAAGTGCCAAAAATTCCAACATAAATTAGTTTTGTTTTGTAGAATAATTTATTGTGCATTCTCACAATTTTTACAATATTATTTTGGAAAAAGAATTATTACCAAATTATAGATTATTGAAAAAAAGAATTAGGGTGACTTTAGAAAAAAGTCATAAATTTGGTACTATTTATAAAAATATTAAAAAAGTTTCACTTTAAAAATAAAAATTTAAAAATGAAAGAAGAGAATTTACCTAAAATAATTGCACCTCTCATTTATTTGCGAAAAAAACATTTTATATAAGTGTTAGCATCCTAACGGCGGCCCAAAACTTGCACACATGAAAAAATGTGAGATTATTTTTTGTTACAAGGAAAGATGAGATTATTTTTTGAAGAACGTGAAAATGTTAGATTATTTGAGATAATTCTTCCTTAATTTTATTACAATAAAAACATCCAAATATACATTAGCCACCAGGGTCGTCCGAAAATGTGAAAAAAATGAGATTGACCTTGTGCAAAATTCACGTGTTGGTCATATTTTATTTTTCCAGAGTATTTGTACTTTAAAATTAGTGGTGAATTTGATTTTTAATAACCTCATTTATAACAATTTGAATGTTAAATTATAAATTTGAATTAAATTTTAAAATATCACATTTGAATAAAGAACATTGAACAATATGAGGCCTAAAATTTTGCATCTCATAACCAACCAAAGCAAAGATTGAAAGTTGGGTGGTGCATGTTGCTTCTGTTTTTGTTTATATTATATCTTCAATCCCTAAAAATTTTATAAATATAATGCAATAAAATTTGGGAATTGAGAATGTAACTCGATAAAAGATCCTCAATGCAATTTAGGTCATGAGAATTACGTCTCAGTTAATTGATAAAAAAAGCAACACTAAAATGTTGAGTGGGAAATAAATGTATTATCTCAATAAATTAAAAATTTTAATTACGTTTAAGGATCATTTTCAAAATATTTTTTGTAAAAATGACTTAAACAATTACTTTTACAAGGACTAAAAATAAAAATCGTCGATTTTACATGAACTAAAAACGGGCTTTTTTGTCACTACACCAACATGCTTCCTCAATGCACATATAATTTTTGTTTACCTATGTCTTCATTAATAGTGCGATTAAATAATGAATTTTTTGCACTAAATAGGACTAAAACTTAAGTCATTTCTCTAAATAACACTTAAATTGTTTTATTCCCTAAATAGCACTCCATAATATCAATAATGTCCAGTGATGACCAATATTTACCTGAATAATGACTAATGGAAAATGATTAAAAGTGCTAGATTGGAAAAAACACATGTAATGCCATTTAGAGAAAGTCATTATGTTTTAGTGTTATTTACTTAAATCCCCTTTAAATAATATGTCCATGTTATCACTTGTTCTAGAGAATCATTATATACTATGTAACTTTTATATATGTTAGTATTAATTATTAAATATATTCTATATTTAATGTAAATATATTGTTTCCTATTATTGTCTCCTACCTTGTATAGGATTAGGAATATATTGTTTCCTATTATTATCTCCTACCTTGTATAGGATTAGGAATCCTTGTGTATATATAGACATGTACGCCCACATATTCAATCAATGAAATTAACCTTTCTACATGGTATCAGAGCCTAAAAATCAAAAACCCTAAACCCCCCTCTCTCTCTCGTTCGGCCTTCTCTCTCGCCGTCAGCGCCGACCCACCCCCACGGCGGCTCTCTTCACCGGGGACACCCTCTCCCCCCTCGGCGGTCTTCTTCTTCCCCTCACCATGGCCAAAAACAGCGAGGTTACTTCCCAAAATAACTCCTCCGAACCTCCTCATCTTGCTTTCACAACAATCTCAAATGTGAAACTTCATGTCCCCGTTTCACTCAGTCTCTCCCAACCTAATTACAAAAAGTGGAGCCGACTCTTCCTTCTTCTGGTTCGGCGGTTCAACCTCAAGGGCTACATCGATGGCTTCGTCGTCCTCCTCTCCGATGACGACGACGAATGGTTCAAACTTGACGCTCTCCTCCAGGGTTGGATCCTCTCCACCATCACTGATGAGGTCTCAGATCTGGTCATCTCCTCTGTTTCTACTGCCTCTGCTCTCTGGAAAGTCATCCACGACTTGTTCCACGACAACAAACATGCCCGAGCTATGCAATTAAAGCATGAATTCCGCACGACGGTCATAGGCAACTCAACCATGGCAGCCTATTGCCAACAACTGTAGAATCTTGCCGACTGGTTGGATGATGTCGATGCACCAGTATCCCAACACCAACTCGTCCTTCAAATGCTTCGTGGTCTCCCTGCCGATCTCCAGGCACAAACATCATTCATGCAATTTCAGGATCCCATGCCCACGTTTCTGCAGGTTCGATCCACCCTCATGCTGCTCGATCGACAACGGACGAGTCCCTCCGACTCGGGGACCACGGCGTTTCTCACGACCCGAGCCGGCGGCAACACCCACGGCGGCACTCCCGGCGGCTATGGCGGACATCATGGCGGCACAGGCTCTGGGGAAGGCAACTCCGGGCAACATGGAGGCTATGAACGAGGACAAGGCCGTGGCGGTGGAACTCGGGGCAGAGGTCGCGGACGTCAAAACGGCTCACGACCGCGGCAATCCTACGACAGCAACAATGCCTGCAACTCACCGTACCCTAACCCGGGTCTCTTAGGCCCACGCCCTACTCACTCCTACCCCGCCCACGCCCACTACACCCTAGCCCCCTCCCTCGTCCNTTTGTTAAAGAATGACACATGGGAACTAGTACCCCCTCCCCCAACCAAAACATAATCACCGGTAAATGGCTCTTCCGACACAAATTTGGCCCATCCAGTGAGTTATCCAGGTATAAGGCCCGATGGGTGGTCCGCGGATTCAATCAGCATTTTGGCGTTGACTACAACGAAACTTTCAGCCCCGTCATCAAGCCTGCCACGGTCCGAATCGTCCTTAGCCTCGCGTTGTCTCGTGGGTGGCCCATCCATCAGCTCGATGTCAAAAATGCTTTCCTCCATGGACAGCTTCCGGAAACCGTGTATGCTAGCCAGCCCTCAGGATTTCAGGATGCAAATCGCCCTCATAATGTCTGCCGGCTCAAGAAAGCTCTTTATGGTCTGAAATAGGCACCCCGGTCATGGTATCACAGATTTGCAGGTGTCATTCAGACTATTTGATTTCGCAGCTGCAAATCTGACACCTCTCTCTTCGTCTTCATGCATGCCTCGGGGACCGCCTACCTCCTATTATATGTTGATGATATCGTCCTCACTGCCTCCTCGCCAGGGCTTCTTCAGAGTCTCATTCAGAAACTCAAGGCTGAGTTTGCCATGACAGACATGGGTGATTTGCACTTTTTCCTCGGCATTAATGTTCATCGCACTGCTCAGAGCCTTTTCCTCCATCAGACACAGTTCACTCACGACATCCCTGAGAGGGCAGGGATGGTCTCCTGCCGCCCCATATCCACTCCAGTCGACACCAAGGATAAGCTTTCTTCCTCCTCTGGCACAGCACTTCCAGATCCTTCTCTTTACAGGTCCATCGTTGGTGCTCTACAGTATCTCACATTCACCAGACCTGATATCACTTATGCCGTTCAGCAGCTCTGCCTCCATCTTCATGCGCCCCGCGACTCTCACCTCACGGCCATGAAGAGAGTTCTCTGTTATCTTAGCGGCACCGCCACTCACTTTTTATTGGTGAGTTGTAGAGGTCTTATTTCCTCTTTCACTACTTCCCCTCTTGGCTTTGCTTTTGTGCTGATTTACTTTGGATTTTTATTGGTTCAACAGAAGAGAAAGAGAAGGGAGGTTGATGATTAGAATGAGTGATTTTAGAAAGAAAAAGTAGGTTAAGAATTGGAGATGGGGAAAAAATTGGGTCTGAGATTTTGATATGGTGAATTGGAGAGAAACAACAATCATTTTTTTTCTTTTTTTGAGAAGATAGGATGATCTGAGAGAGTTTGTGAGGAGTTGGGTTTTTTTGAAGAACCATGGAGATAACAAGAGAGAAGTTCCTCCTTTGATAGTTTTTTTTTGTGTGATTTCAACAAGGGTTTTTTTTCTTTTTTTTTCATTTGAATGGAGAAGTTGATTTGAGGATAGAGAAGAAAGAGAAAATAGAGGTGAATAGGGTGGAGCCGCCGTCGCCGAAATTACCGGCGGTGGCGGTGGGAGCAAAGAACTTTTTTTATGTCACCAAGAGCGGTGGCTCTGATACTCACGGTATCTACCTAACTCGCTCCTCGACAGACTATCTCCAGGCTTATTCTGATGCTGATTGGGTTGGCTGTCCCGACACCAGACATTCCACTTCCGGGTACTGTATTTTTCTGGGCGACAACCTGATTTCCTGGTCTTCAAAACGCCAGGCCACCACTTCCCGCTCCTGTGCAGAGGCAGAATATCGGGATGTGGCAAATGCAGTTGCTGAGACTTCTTGGGTCCGAAATCTTCTTCTTGAGCTCCAGCAACCACTACGACGCGCCACCCTCGTCTTCTGCGACAACGTCAGCGCCGTCTATCTCTCATCAAACCCAGTTCAGCACCAGCGCACCAAGCACGTTGAAGTCGACATACACTTTGTGCGAGACAAAGTCGCACTCGGCGATATCCGAGTCCTTCACGTGCCCTCTTCTTCACAGTATGCTGACATCTTCACCAAAGGACTACCTTCCCTACACTTCCTCGAGTTTAAGTCCAGTCTGGGTATCAGACCCCCTCCTCATCCGACGTAGCCGGGAGCATGTTAAATATATTCTATATTTAATGTAAATATATTGTTTCCTATTATTGTCTCCTACCTTGTATAAGATTAGGAATATATTATTTCCTATTATTGTCTCCTACCTTGTATAGGATTAAGAATCCTTGTGTATATATAGACATGTACTCCCACATATTCAATCAATGAAATTAACCTTTCTACATTAATTTTTATTTTTATATATTTCCAAATAAAAAAAATTTTAAATTTTGTTTACCTCGCATATTCCTTCGATAATGTTACTCTTTTCGTCCAATAATTTTCTTATTGTTTCGAGTTACGATGTTTAACCAAAAAAAATTAAATTCATTTTTATGATAATTGACGTTGAATTTAAAAATAAAAATTATACTATATTTTAAAACTAAATCAAAATATTTATAAAATTAGAGTTAACATGACTATATTATTTTATTTATGGGCAACAAAAATAGATGAGAAAAGAGAATAAAATATTTTGTTTTTTTTCAAGTATTTCAACGAACTTCCTTTACCTCCTCTCAGGTATAATGTTCAAGCCAGACTAAGGGGCTGTTTGTTTCAGCCTCTGAATGGTTTAGATGTCTGAATGGTTCAGCACTTAATGGTTCAGACTGTTTGTTTCAGCCTCTTAATGGTTCAGATGTCTGAATGGTAAAGAGATTTGCCTCTGAATGGTTAAGTATTATACAGAGTCTGAATGGTTAAGACCTCTTATCTGAATTGATCAGACATTTGCCTCTGAATAGTGAAGCAATATACTAGCTCTTAATGGTTCAGACCTCTTACTGGTTCAGCACTTAATGGTTCAGACCTCTTACTAGTTCAGCACTTACCTATTTAGAAGTTGCCAAACAGCCCCTAAGAGGTTCTCGGGGATGGTGTGTCATCCTTTTTTCCCTGGGGGGGCATTGTTCAAGTGTGTTCAATAGGGGGAGTGAAATGACATAATGATTGGATTCAACTCCTAACAAAGGCAAGTATACTGTGAGATGATTTATGCTCTGTATAAACATCATCTGCTCGAATTAGGAACAAATTTCATTCCTGAATGCTAATTAGAAATCTAAACATCATTTATTTCGTCTCAGGTAAACTATAGAGACAAGTCCGAAGGAACCACTGAGAATAAATTGTCATCTTTTTGAAAAGTTTTATAGCAAAGTGATTCACAAGAAAACAAAGTTACAAAACAGCCCAAAAACTTTTTTAAAACAATAAAGAGTAAATTTCATAAAAGATCCTCACTTATAGGTCGTTTTACATATTTAGTCCTACATATCAAATATTACTAATTTAATCCCCAATTATTATATTCATTTCAATGAATGGTCTTTTGTTAACATTTCCGTTAAGAACATTGATAAAATTGTAAATTCACACTCCTTTCTCTCCTCAATTAAGCTTCCTCCTTCCCCTCGCACTCTTTTCCCAAAGCCGACGCTGAGTTTGAAGCTTTGAAGCCAAAATCGAAATCATCACTCTTCTCTCAATTGTTTGTCTAACTGGTGGAACCCAAATTCGAAACTAATAACATTCATGGATGAGTTTTAATGTTTATTTTCTTTACAATTTTTTGAAACTAACCCATAAAACTCATCCATAAAGTTTATTAGTTTTGATTTTAGGTTCCACCAGGAAGATTAATAATTAAGAGAGAAATGATCATTTCAGTTTTGGATTTAGAGTTTCAAACTCAGCGACGAATTTGGGAAAGAGCACGAGAGGAGGGATGAAGCTTAATTGATGAGAGAGAAAAATATGAATATACAATTTTATCCATGTTCTTAACAAAAACGTTAAGAAAGGACCATTCGTGAAAAATGATATAATAATTGGGGACTAAATTAGTAATATTTGATATGTAGGAACTAAATATGTAAAACGACCTATAACTGGGAACCTTTTATGAAATTTACTCAACAATAAAACCATCTGCTTATTTTAGTATCCCCATAATAGTGATGACTATTACAAATTTACAATTTACTATGGGTCGCATAGTGATAATAAAAATCCAATTATAGACCTTTACTTTCCCTTTTTACAGAAAATTATTGGAAAAAATATCTAGAATAAATTTAACTTTACTCAGTCTTTCAAAAATATCTAATCTCTTATTATGATGTACAATAATTTCAACTTTACTGAAATTTGCCAATTTTGGATCGCCGTTAAGTTACTAACGACGAGTTAACGGAAACAGCGTGTTTTGCACAACAAAATAAAAGTTGTCATTATTTTTTTATGAATTTTCATTTTTAAAATTTTTAATTTAAATTTTTAAAATGACTTTCTTCCTCCATCATTTCTATTCTTTTAAAGATTAGTCTAACTTTGGACAAAAATAAAGAATAGATAAAAAATAACGAAAATGAGAAAAAAACTAAAATCATACAAAATCAATGACAAGAATAAAGTAATCAATAGAAATGAACTTGAAACTGGTAATAAACAAAATAAAAATAGATGGAGTGGTGAGCTTAACATTTTGCACACTATACAGAGGATTAATGTATCCCTTTTTCTTTTTTTGGGAAAAAATTTCTAGAATAATTCTAAATTTATCTGTTCTTTAAAAAAATAAATAGTACATTAATACTCGATCTGTATAGTGCGTAAAATGTTAGAACACTTAACTCGTTATATTTTTATTTTGTTTCTCTTCAATTTCAATTTAATTTTTATTGATTACCTTAATTATTTATTTCATTAATTTTGTATGATTTTAATTATTTTTCTTATTTTTGATTTTTTATTATCTATTTTTTATAAGATAAGACTAATCTTTAAAAAAGGAAAAATAAATTAAAGTAGAAATTCATTTTAAAAATTTAAATAAAAATTTCATAAAAAAATGAATATTCATAAAAAAATTATCTCAACTTTCATTTGGTTGTGCAAAACAGGCCGTTCCATTAATCCACCGTTGACTGCTTAACGGCGGCTCAATTCACAAACTTCAGTAAAGATGGTATTATTAGAGCATCTCCAACCATGTTAAAATGACTTGCTATATGCTATAATTTGACAAACTAAGTAAAATTTCACTCCAAGGGTCTTGCCAATGTTTGACAAGCTTGCTTAAAGATGAAAATAGCTTGCTATTAATAACAAACTTGATAAAATATAGCAAGCCAAAAAGAAGAAAAAAATGTTGGCTGGATTAGTTTTTTCATGTGCCACGACGCATTTGTTCCCTCACTTTAAGTACCACAAAGTCCACAATGCAAGAAAAAAATAAATTTTATTTTATTTTCTTACCAAAAAAATCTTATTTTTTACCAAAAAAATTATAAAATTTATTTTATTTTAAGTTTAAGTTGCATACTTGCAGAATATTAATTAATTTTTATAAAAAATAATAAAATTTTAAAATTATAATAAATAGTGTAGTCTAATAGTAAAATCAATATATTTTTATTAAATTATACGGAGTAGCAAACAAAGGTTGTAGATGACAATGTAAAATGACTTGCTATACCACTATTCATATGTTAATAGATAACTTTAGCAAGCCATGTTTAGCAAGCGTGATTGGAGATGCTCTTATGCATCACAGTAAAAAGTGAAATTATTTTTAAAAGATAGAGTAAATTAAAGAGAGAATTTTGAATAATTTTTTCAAAATTATTTATACTAAGTAATTGAAATTGGTTTTTTGTCATCTTCCCAAATGTTCGTGTATGTTAGTATGTATTTTATTCAAGCATGCATTGTTGTCTTAGTTTAATTTTTATAAAAAAAATACGTTTTAAATAAATAAATACTAAAAAAATTTGATATATTAAACTTGCATTTTAATATTAACTCATTGATATTAAAATTTATATTATAATTAACTAAATGAGGAAAAGATTAAAATATGACTAAAATATAGCAAAAAGAGTAAAATAATGTCGACATGTATAATACCAAAAAGCATTGTGAATTATCAGTATACAGTGCAATATTGTCACAGTACAATAATATAATTTAAGAATAAAAAATATGTAGAAGTTTCTAGAATATTCTAGAGTTTTCTAGAAAAACGTGGAAATCTTTAAAAGTGTGCGGAAAAATGTAGAGTCCTCTAAAATATTCTAGAACTGTGTGGGGTTCTCTACATTCTTCTAGAACATTATGGAAGCTCGTGAAGACCTTTTAGAAGACTCTAAAGATGGGTAGAGTATTATAGAAAAATCTAGCGCTAGCCTTAGTGATGAGTATAAATTGGCGTGTGGATGTCATTTGGCAATCCAAAAGAGTGAAGAACAGCTCGTTTCGGAGATATGATAAGATATGTGTTATGAAATCTGGAGAAGTGATATGAGTTTTGAAATCTCAAACGAATTCGTTTGGAGAGATCCAAAATCATGATTTAATTAGTGATAAGCGATGGTGACCACCAACGGGAGCAGTTGACGGTAACAATGGTACTCAATGACAAAGAATGATCAATGGTCGATAGAGATATCAAACTCTGATATTGATATCTCCTAAATTCAGAAGATATCGAAACCCTCTATTCAAAGGATTTATGGTATCTAGAGACATCGAATTCGATATCTTTTTTTACCTCACCAAACACCCAAAAAAATATTGATATCTAGAGATAACAATACTCATATCTTGCTTGCTCACCAAGCACACTTTAAGGAGGCTACTTGAGAGTGCTTGGAGTGAGGTGTAGAGAAGAGTTTCCAATACAAAGAGTGACATGTGCTACTCGTGTAATTATAATCTCTCTTGTACATTTCTTTATATAGTACAATGGGGCGATTCATGTGACATTGCCCCGTGATATCATAGGATGACCCTAGGTGCTACAGTGTCCCGTTTGTAAAATTGACGGTTCCTACCTCCTAACCCCCAGGTAAACCTCCCACCCTGACTCGAACACATCCTTCACCCCCTTCAATTACATCCCAAGTTAATTTCTGACTTTGGAGTCAATTTTGACTCCAAAGTCAATATTAAATTGGTGGATGCAATTGAAAGGGTTGGAGGAGTGTGTTCGCTCGGAGTGAGGTGGGAAAGTAGGAATCGTCAGCTTAGAGAATGGAGCACCGTAGCACCAACGGATCATCTCAAGACACGGGGTTTTAATGTCATGAGAACCCATTTTATAATGCAAAGTCGTTTGTTGAAGTCGTGCCTTCTGTATCATTGAGTGTGTACATAAGGCCTCGTTTGGTAAACGGAATTCAAACTATGGAATTGGAATTGAAGACTTCAATTCCAATCTTGGTGTTTGGTAGCACAAAAAGCACGAGGATTTGGAATTGATAATGCAAAAAATGAATTGGAATTGGTGAATTCAATTCTATGGAATTAAATTTCATGGAATTTCAATTCCAATTCAATTTTAATTTCAATTCTATCAATTCCGTATACCAAACAGACCCTAAATATAAAAGTGTTTGGTTGTGTGAATTAGAGAAAAAAGTTGAGACAAATCTATTCTAACATGTTACTCCTATTTTTTGAGATAAAGATACGTTTTATTGTTATTTTAAGTGATATTTTAGCTAAATGTTTTTTTCATAATTTGTGACTAAAATGACCAAAAAAGTCAAATAGGACGGTACTTTTGGGATATCCTATATCATATCCTATCCTATCCTATATATATGTAAAATAGAGTTTGGTTGTTGTACTATTGACATTTGGCATGCCACATGTGCACCCATTTATGAAGTAGATAAATGTATTGCACCCATTTTAAATATCTTTTAATACATTTGTATACAATTTTTAATTTTTTAATAATTCTAAAAATATATATTTCACCATTGTAAAATATACTCCATATTTTGAATACACACACACACAAAATTATTTTTATACTATCCACAATTATTTTAGTTTATTACTTCTCAAAAAATGATTGTATAAATTTAATCACATGTGCATATTTATTAATTAAATACTTTTGATGGTGTAAATATAGCGGGGTGGGTTAACCGGGTTTGACCTGGACACACTCGACCCGTAATATAAAACACACAACAAGAACACAAAGTATGACCTAGACCGGGTAAATCTCCTCAGTCCGAATTATATTTCTTACTCTATCTCAAGAGTGAACTTTAATGAGAGAAAAATTGGCCCCCCTCCTCTATCCAATATCATCATATTTATAGAGGAGGATTTGTGACCCTCCCATGTTCATCCATGGACAAAATAGGAAGCTCATGGGAAGGTCACTGTAGATAATGGAAGCACTGTACAATCATAGACTTGCTACTAATACAACCAAAAAAGCACTCTTCAATCAAAGACTAAAATGGATATTCTCAATCCAATCAACCCTGCAAAATGACAAACATCCCTTTCACTGTGTGCCTCGTGACGGATGAGCGGCGGGGTGTCCCCTTGACCTCTGACATGGTTAACCATGCCTAAGAGACTGGACTAATGCTAGCAAAGTATCAAATTATGACCGGTCACCTTTTCTCAAAGGTTACCCGGTCATTGTTTGAGCTCAGCCCGTCTCTTTGGTCTTCCGGAATATCCTTCGTTACATAAGGTGACATTTTGGCTATCGCCCATAATGTGACCGGTCACTTTTTTAGTGGAAGTGACCGGTCAACTTTTTTTTGACCGGCCTATGTCGTGCTCAAAAAATTATTACCTTTACCGAGGAGCTCGGTGTTAGGGTGGTTAAAATTCGCGTGAATAATTATCGTCACAAGAGCGATGTCAGTTCGATAAAGCAACGATGCTTCGAGTAGTTATACGACACCGGAGTTAGTACGATGAAGCGGCGGTGCTTCAAGTAGTTATTTCGTCGAGACCGATGTTAGTACGGATTAAGTAAAAGACACATAGCAAAATTAGTATATCGAAGTAATCGATGTTACTTAATACGAATTAAGTATGTTGTAGCAACTTTGTCGAAGATCGATGCTAGCCCGGCTAACTGATGCAAATATCTTCATGTCATGCAGAGACCACTTCTGGAGTGCCTTGTTCAAAAGGCTTGAAGAATCGGGCGTCCCCGATAAGGGCTCAGCTGAGCCACCGGTGTACCCAATTCGATTGGGGTCAGACTTACGAGAAAATATGTGCAAGACCGGTGTGTATATCATTCTTGGCCTGTCTCGCGCACAAGAATGATATTTACCAGCGTGCCAGGCCGGGCCTGTGTCACATATTTTAATATTTTTTTTATTATACTGAGCGAGACCGGTGTAGTAACCAGCGTGCCAGGCCGGGCCTGTGTCTCAGTTTTCCTCTTTTTTTTTTAATACTGAGCAAGACCGGTGTCGTAACCAGCGTACCAAGCTCGACTTGTGTCTCAGTCTTCCTTCCTTTATTTGTAAAGTATTAAGCAAGACCAGTGTAATAACCAGCGTCCCGACTTCGAAAAGCAAGTGGAGAAAATTGATTCTCCCAGATGCATACATGTGGTATCTTTTTCACCTTGAAAATACTCCGTATATTGTACGTAGTAATTGATGCAGTGGGGGCTGACAACATGTGAACTTTGTCCTGAGTGCTTCCGTATGAGTATTCCAAAAGTCATGACATTAGTGGACCCTGTCGCTTGCATTATCCTCTCATAACTTTCGTATCTCTTTCCATTCTTTTGTTTGTCTTCTGGTTAATTATTGGTACAAAGCATGTACCCCTTTTTTCTTCATTTTCAAAATCTGCTGGATCCTCCATGTGCTGCCCATCTATATTGTCTCAATTATCTTCAACTTTTAATTGGCTTGTAGTTGATTGGCTCCGCATATGTTGACAGTAGAAGTGATGGGGATGGTATTGCACTTCAATGGAAATGAAAATTAGGGAAGACAATCTGAACATAGATCAAGTCTTCTTCCTCGCTGCAATTGGTTGGCGTCGCTCAACATCGTCGGAAATTGAGCCAATTCTCGCGTCATTTGGTTGCCGACCGAGAGGTGGATTGTCCTTCGCGAGCTGGTATATCGGGTGAGAGACGTCGCTGCAGGTAGCTCTCGCCGCTGAAGTTCTCTGCCGGTTTTGACCTATGCTGGATGAGGTGGATCCTTGCAAAGAAGCCTTGAGGAACTGAATACGAGGCGTCGAGCTCGGCTAGAAGGACTGGAGCTGGTTCCAGGATATGGGGGGATGGGAATCGAGGTTCAAACCATTCACCCCGACACCGTCGCCTGCCTTTTTGAGAGTCAAGGCAGAGTCAGACACGACGAAACCGGCGGCACTACAATATGAAGAGCCCGCTGCCGCGGTGGGGAGTGGACGACGCACGGGGAATGGAGGCCCCGGCGGTGCCCTACAATTGGTGGATCGGGCCGAACCCGCCTTCTCCAATGAAATTGGCGCTGGAGAAGCTTTGAGTGATGATGCGCAGCTCCTGGGGCGTGAACAAATGAATGTTGGAGCCTGCCAGCGAAATGGACAGATCTTCCGACAGCGCGGAGGAGCTGAAGTCCGACGCTGAGATCCTTCTTTGGTGAAACGTCGACGCCGGTTTCTTGCCGGGGCCGGCTCTGCCTTCTTCGGCTTCATCGGCGTCGCCGACATGGTTTCCGGCTGATCTGCTTGAAGCATGCCCGGAACAGCGAATCCAGCTTGATCTTCATCTCCAACCAATCGGAGATCCAGAGAAATTAATTGAGGAGAGATTTTATTATATCTCCAAGTCACGGGTGGCGTTTGAGCTATGGATCTGGGCTAGGTTTCGCCATGACAGCAACGGTTTTTTTGGATTCTTCTTCCTTTTTTTTCCTCTTTTTTTTGGTTCTCCCTTGAAAAACGAAGTGAAGGAATTGAAAATTTCATGGCCTTTTGTTTAGGTCCCACGGGTGGCGCCAAAATGATGGTGTAAATTATCGACCGGTATACCATTTTTAGTCCGGCTAAAACGATAAACTAGTCTAAAAATACACCAAAATATAAACACGGGGATTTTGACGTGGAAACCCAAATCGGGAGAAAACCACGGGCCTTTTTTGGCGGTACCTTGCCAACGGGGGATTTTTATTAATATCGAGGGTGTGTACACGGTACAAGAGTTCGGCTCGGAAGCCATTAATGGTGGAGCTAGAAGCTCTTGAAGAAGAAGGAAAAATATAAGGATTTTCTAGAGAGAGAAACTAAGTGGGCAGGGGAGAGTATAGAACTTGGCCTCCTCTCACATTGAGGGGGAGCCCTCCTTTTATAGGAGTAACTGGAGCATCTACGGAGGAATATTCTATTATTCCTCCACTTTATTAAACAGGCCCGGTTTGACTGTCCTTCGTAAATAATTGGGAAATGTGGGCCGAGCCACGTATTATTTCCCATCACTTTCATTTATTTGATCTACTTTTTATTGTCTCTAATACGTAAAATATTGCGCATATAAATATAAATAATGCAATCATTTTCAATATAATCATATTGTAAGAACTATACCCTATATTTAGTATTTTCAATTAAGTTTAAATACATTGTAGAATATTAACTAGTTATTTTATCTCTAACTGCTTCATTGCATCTTTAGTTTGTTCATTAAACAATATCACCTTGGGCCTATATTCCGTTGTTCGTTGCCTTGGTAGAAATAAAACATGAAAAAAATGTAAAAGAGTTCTATGTCTTTATACCAAAAGTAGGATTATAATGAAAAAATATCAATCATTAAAGAAAAAATAGGTTTGATTACATAATGTGACATGTGTGATATTTAAAACAAAATCTTGTAATATATACAGTATAATTACAAATATATTATTTTATGATAAATATTGCATAAATAAAGTGACGTGCAACATAGCCACAATAACTTTTAAATATTTAACATTTTGATATTCATGTTAATTTTATATTCTAATTTTTTTTTTGCAAAAGTAGTTTTTTTGTGTAAAAAAAAATAATAATATTTTTTTTATTTTAAAGGCATTCATTAAGATAACGTGATGACAACAACAAGAACAATAATAGAAATAATAATAATTTTATTAATTTATAACAATAATAATTAGAATGAGAATAATATAAAATACAAAAAAAATTTTAAAATTTTTTAGATTTTCCAATTTTTAATATTTTTTCAATTTTATTTAATTTTTTCAAGTTTCTTCCAATTCCTTCCAATATCTTTCAATTTCTTTCAATTTTTTTCAAGTTCTTCAAACATCCAATTTTTTTCTAAATAATAGACTCTAAGAGGATAACCATTCAAAACAAGAAAAGTCAACAATAATTTATTATACCGGAATAGTAGCATTTGGGAGCGGAGGGAGTACAGACTACAGAGAATGGAGTGAAATACTCCACTACGTAATACATACGGAGTGGTAACTGGTCCTCCTAAGAGTATTTACTCTTTATCTTTTTGGAAGAAAAGGTGAAGAAGGGTCTGATAAGACCTTTTTGTTCTCTAGCTGGGACTGGACTGGGCTGGGCTTTGGCTTGGCTTGGTTTTTCTCTCTGCTGAGAATTGGAGATTATGATGAGAGAAGAGCTGCTGGTAACAATGGCGGCGCTGTGGGCGGTGGCGCTTGCCGTTGGGATTCTGTTCAACGGTCCGAGCTCAGCCGCCGCTGATACACATCCGGGTGATGGTCAGTTCATTCTCGAAATTCCCATGCCTTCTATGTGTTTGTGGTTATGCCTACCAGAAATCTTTTTTTTTTCCTTTATGAATTTTTATATTTGGGCTTCTTGGAATGGTAGTGTTTGATTTGGGAATAGTGAGTGAAGATGCCAAAGCTCTTTTCTTTGTTATTATCATATATTCATAAGTGGACTTTTCTGGGTTGTGAAAGATGATTGTATCCCTGTTCATCAAAAGGTCTGGATTTGTTGTTAAAGAGGGAAGGTTTTATTTATTGCTCATAAAAAAAGTTTGGATTTTTCAAAGAAGAAATATTCCATTGTTCATCAAAAGGCGTGGATTTGTTTAAGAAGGAAGATTCACTTCTCAAGTTTCATATTTGGATCCTCGCATTTCTCTTTTTCTCTCTCCCCTGTGGGGCTGTGTGCTTACTATTTGACTTTATTCTTTGATCGATTACCTGTTAATGTGGCCTCTCAAACAAGGTTCTTCTTCTACTTTCTTTTTTTAAAAACTTATTCCGTAGAAAACATCTTTGGGCAAGGTTTGTCTTTCATTATCAATGTGTGTTTCACTTAATTAGTGAATGGCTCGACTTTGTTCCCACAGAGGGGTTTACGTAATTATGGATATAAATTTCAAAGGGTTGCAGTGATTTTTCCTATTTTTAGTTATTCTATGTGCGTTTGTGATAGAAAAAGAAATTTATAAAAGATAATATGGTGTCATTCAATGGAAATTTTGCTTTTTTCATTTTCTGTATTTCCAGCATTAGTTCTGAGGGCACTGTTCTCCAGCTTGAACTTGGCACCACAGCTAACAAAGTGGTCCACAAATGACAGCGATCCTTGTCAAGAGTCGTGGAAGGGCATTACTTGTTCCGGAGCTCCTGACAATAGAGTAACTGAAATGTGATTCTCTAATATTGTCCCTAATAACATATCATCTTGCACCTTGCCTCACATTTCAAATTTGATATATTTATTCATCACATCTTTTCAGTGACATTTCAAATCTAGGACTCACTGGTTCACTGGGATTCCAATTGGATCAACTCAACGCTGTCACTGCCTTGTAAGGCCAATAGCTTGGGACATTAGTTTCCGTGCTTTTATTTGGAATGTCCCATAAGTGATGAATTTCTTTCGTCTTTGCAGTGATATAAGTAATAACAATATTGGGGGCCAATTACCATATCAACTTCCTCAAAATGTTCAGAAACTGTATGATTCTTACTTGCCTGCTCTCCCATCTTTTTGATAATATTTAGTATTTGTCTACACCATCATTTCAAATTCCTCTTAAAAATGCAGAAATGTTGCTGCCAATGACTTTAGCGGCGTCCTCCCCTATTCTATCTCACTAATGACTTCGCTTGAATATTTGTAAGTTAAATGCTCAGAGCAAATTTTTATCCACCTTCTAATGTAAATCAGGGTTGTATTGGATGTATATAACTTATGATTTGGATGCAATTCCAACTGTAGAAATGTGAGTCACAACAAATTTCAAGGTGAAGTGACTGTGATGTTTGTATCACTTACAAATTTGTCAACATTGTAAGACCTCTTTCCTCAAATTCTTCCTTGCCTTGAATTAGCTTAAGCTTTTTCTTAATGTTGTGAGCCAATATATCTTATGAAATTCACAGGGTGATGCATAATATTTTTTTAATGGAACCAAATATGGTGTTGGGATAATGTATCTTTTGTTTATCTCCTATGCTTGCTTTGTGATTTCCATGATAATGGGTAGCACTGACAATTGTTATGATTTTGTTTAATGCCTTAGGGATTTCTCTTGGAATACTCTGGATGGTAATCTTCCTCAAACATTCAGCTCACTTGCAAATATGAAAGATATGTAAGTATACATTGCTTTGTTTTTAAAAAACCTTTTGTCATGGTTGGTTGCAAAGCTGGTTAACATATATGGAGTGTCGTGTTTTAGGTATTTGGAGAACAACCAGTTTATTGGAACTATTGATGTTCTTGCAAATCTCCCCCTTGATAATCTGTGAGTGGTATTTTGCACATCTCAATATCAAATACTCCACCACTCCATAAAAAAGTCATCTTTCAACCAAAGAAGCAAAGCTTCTATAAAAAAGAAGTGATGCAAAGAAGTTAATTACTTAAATTAAATAAGCTAACTTAGTTAATAATTAATTAAAAAATAAATTTTAAAATATACCCCGTAAGTAATTAATTCAAAAGAGCTGAAGAGGTGTACCTTATCAAAACTCAAAAGTTCTACTTTGATAAAACTGGACTTATTTTGGGGTGGGGGAGATGTGAACGGTGGGAGCATTACATATGTTATTCAGAATGAACAATGCGGTGACTCTTACTTCTCTTCTAGGAATGTCGAGAATAACCAATTTACAGGATGGATACCTCCACAACTCACGGGAATAAAAGGTTTAAAGTGAGTATCTTAAACTGCAAGGGATTTAATTTGCAGGAGAAAAAAAAATCAATGTCTCCAACTTCTTATTTCTTGTGTAGAACGGGCAACAATTTGTGGAACTCAGGGCCTGCACCGCCACCTCCACCTGGTGCACCACCTGTGATCAAGCCGAATCATAGACCTGGAGGCAGTAGCAGCCAGCCGAGTGGAGGCCGTGATGGAGGTGGAAAGTCTGGTATAGGGGGTGGAGCGGTTGCAGGAATTGTAATTTCAATTTTACTTGTAGGAGCAGTAGCAGCATTCTTTATTATCAAGAAAAGAAGATCAAGGAGGAGAGCATTGTCAACAGACATAGAAAAGATTGATGGTCAGCGGTTTCCTCCTCTTGTCTCACATGAAACACAAGGTATGCCATTATGCATAAACAATTCTTTGGTCATGAGTCACAACCTCTTCCTCTATCCAAATAAATATGCTGATTATTTCAAAATGTTGTTTCCGAAATGTTTTTTCATTTAAAACATTTGAAAAATTTTGCTATTCATCTCTAGCATTTATGTCCATTTCCTCTCTCTCTCTCTCTCCAAGCCCATCATTCTTACTTTTCAATTTACACAATTTACACGTCTCTGGCTATATGAAAAGCACATACCAAGCATTTTTAATACTCCCTCTGTCTAATAATTTCATTCTCGCTTTGACTTGGCACGGAGATTAAGAGAAGTTTAAAAATGTAAAGACTTTCTTTGTTTGTCCTTGATATGATGTAATAAAGTAAATAATGTAGATGAAAAGTGGGGGTATAATTACACATTCATAAAAGTTTTTTGGCCAAAATAGGAAACAGGAATGAAATTTGTAGACGGCCCAAAAAGGAAAGTAGGAAAGAAATTAATGGATGGAAGGAGTAACATAATTGGTATGGAAAAGCTTCCGTCATCTCCGATAGAGCCAAAGATTCACCTCTTTTTGGCTTTGGGGTATGTGGAATAAAGCAAAATGGCTCTTTAAACTGTCTGAGCTTCTTTTGTCGTGAAGTAACAGTTAGTCAGTGCAACTTTAGATGCTCATGCCTCATCATGGGTCATTCTAGAAACAGTCGCTCTATGCTTTAAACATAAGAGTCAAGTTACATACATCCGACCCCCTTAGCTCGCAACGAGGAAGAGGCACTAGTGTATTGTTGTTTTGTTGGTATGGAAAAGCTAGAGTTGAGTTCTACAAGACATATAGTTTTTCTTTTAAACAAAGGTTGAAGGAACTATAAATAAAACAACATAAATTTCCGAGATGAATGACAAAAACATATTTTTACGAGTGTAAAGCACAAAATACTACTTCCTTTGGCCCAAAATAAGGTTCATGTTCGGTTTACGATGTTTGTGTGAAGTTATTTTCAAATCAATATAAGTGAAAAGTGGGATAGAATTAAAAATACAAATTATATATTAAAAAACTACTCCCTCTGTCCCATTTTAAATTGCATGTTTGCCTTTTTTCTCCGTCCCAAAATAAGTTGCTTGTTACTTGTTATCGTAAACTTTTATGAGTAAAATACCTAAACTACCCCTAAAATAAGTCACTCTTCTCCACCTCATCTTCTCATTCATCGTCACCCCTCCTAAAAAGTAATGGCAATTTCGAAAAATCAACTCTATTTTTTATTTTCCTTAAATATGCCCAAAAGTCAAAACAGGCGATTTAAATTGGGACGGAGGGAGTACATTGAAATTCTTATAAAACAAGTGGTGACAAGGTTTTTTTTATCAAATGGTCGATGAAAATGTAGAACGAAAGTAGAGTTAGTTTGACGTGTGGATAGTAACTACTAACTAGGAACCTTATTTTGGGACAGAGGGAGTATATTTGAAGGGAAAAAGTACATTTAGCCCTATTAAAAATACCTGAATATGTAAGAATTGGAGAGAAGTTGCTGCATTCAATGCTTGATTTTCTGTGAATTTTCATGCAGAAAGGAAATTCATTCAAACTGACTCCACGGCAGGAGTGAAAACCTTTGAGAGACCGATTGAAGTTATAACATTAAAACCACCTCCAGTTGATCGCGCTAAATCATTTGATGAAGATGATATATCAGCAAAACCAATTGTTATTACTCCCAAGAAAATTGATACGTCTGAAATAAATGCTGTCCAATACACTGTTGCAGAACTACAAACTGCGACAGATAGCTTCAGTGATGAAAATCTTCTTGGTGAGGGATCAATTGGAAGTGTTTACCGAGCTCAATTTGAAAATGGAAAGGTACAAACTTTTTCAATAATTTCTTTTTCTTAAGAAAAGGTGGAACGCCCACCCCGGGTGCTGACACCCGGCCCGACAGAGTAGTGAGGGGGTAAATCATATTATAATCTTAGTGTGATCCTTTGAGAGGTTGTCCTATGCCCGGTGCACACAAAGAGCTACTCTGTATCACATTGGATAAAACTCTCACACTTCCATTTCCGGGAGTCAATCTTGAGATCTCGGACGTAACACTCCTTAGGAACCTCTAATCTACCCATGCGGGCAATAATTTCTTTTTCTTAATTAAGTCCTTGGATGTTTACTTTCCAGAAATACTCAATTACATCTGCCTAGTGCCTACGTCATGGTTTTGTCAAATTGTGAAATGACCTTCACAGTTTTTGAAAATTACAAATGAGCCTTCTGAGTTGATTTTCCGCAATCTCTGGAGTTGAAAATTTTGGACTAAATTACCCTCAATGTCATTCCTGATTTTTTTAAATACAGCAAGCTTGAAATATTTTAGCAGATAAATTGCATTTAAAAACACCAAATTTAGTCCTAAAACACACCATTCTTGTTGCTAATATCACTATATTATATTATCTTGAAGAGTTAAAGGGAAAGTTTATCTATAAGTTAACTCTTTAATGGACTTATTTGTGATATTTAGAAATCTCGGGGATCATTTGGTGATTTGACCAAACCTTGGGGAAGTATTAATCCGTCATTAAAGCATTCAACAAGTGATGTTTCTACTTTCTACCATTTCATTAATGTGAATACCTTGCATTGTGTTAGGTTCTTGCTGTAAAGAAAATTAATTTCTCTGCTATTGGGAACCCTGAAGATTTTCTGGATTTAATTTCTGAGATATCCCGGCTGCATCATACAAATGTCACTGAGTTGGTTGGATATTGTTCAGAGCATAAACAGTACCTACTGGTGTATGAATTCTACCAAAATGGTTCTTTATATGATTTTTTGCATCTCTCTGATGAGTACAGCCAGACACTAGCTTGGAACATAAGAGTCAAGATTGCTTTGGGGGCAGCACGTGCACTTGAGTAAGTTAGTTGTCAATATATCGATGACTTCTCCCAATTTCTGCAAGATTTTTTTAACAGAGTTTACTAGTTGGCCGGGTAATATTTATCACTTAATTTCATCTTATATGTGGGGGCTGCAGTGAATCATTGATATATATGAGCTACTCAATTTTATTTACCCATCCACACATGGTGGTATGCTTGAGAAAGAATGTAGAATTTACATTCAAGCTAATTGAACATCCTTTGCAGGTACCTACATGAAGTTTGCTCACCATCAGTGGTACATAAAAATTTCAAATCTGCAAACATTTTACTTGATTCAGAATTCAATCCTCACCTATCAGATTCTGGTTTAGCAAGCCTTATCCGGGATGAAGACCAGGTAACATTTTTATTCCCTTGGCATTAGATAAATTCTTACCCGCCAATGTGTTTGGTTGCCATTGAAAATGTTCCTAACACAAATTTCCTTCGTATGCCTTTATTATTTGCAAGCATAAAATGGTTTATTCTCGTCTTCACATAATGGAAATGTTCCTAACACAATTTTTCTGCTCTCGAGTTCTTGCAGGCTCTTAAGCATAATTTGGGGTCTGGATATGGTGCGCCTGAAGTAGACATGTCAGGCCAGTATACAATAAAGAGTGATGTGTACAGTTTTGGGGTTGCCATGTTGGAACTTCTTACTGGAAGAACACCATTTGACAGGTACTTATTCAACAACCAGTAATTTGTCCCTTATGAGAGAACTGCCTGTTTAGGGTTTTCTTTTAGCGTTATGGTATTTTATCTCTTCCTTCACTGTGTAGTTCAAGGCCAAGATCCGAGCAGTCATTAGTTCGATGGGCTACTCCTCAGCTTCACGACATTGATGCCTTGTCTAAGATGGTTGATCCAGCGCTTAAAGGGCTTTATCCTGTTAAATCTCTATCCTGCTTCGCTGATGTCATTGCCCTTTGTGTCCAGGTAATAATTCTTGGGTAAAAAACTTAACAAATTTAGGTTCTGTTCAGCGTGGGCGTAATCTTTCAGTATTTAGAACAACATATTCAATGCAAACAATGTTTTAGCTAAAAGAGCAATCAATGCATCCATTGCCGATGGATCTAAAAGAGATTTTTTTTACAATATATAGCTTCAGGCAAAACAATGGACTACATAAAAATGACCTATTATATTTATATCTACTTCTGAGTAGGGGTAAGGTCTACTTACACATATTCTCCTAGACCCTACCCTATTTGTGAGATTTTACTGGATTTGTTGTATCAAAATGACACATTTGTTTCTTACTTTTATGAAGTTTTGGTCACTAAATGCTGCAATGCAACAAGTGTAACAGAAACATCCGTTCTGTTTTTACAGTGTTACACTATATTTGGTTCAAGGGACAACAACATTACCCCAGTGCCTCAAAGGCTCTTGCCAATAACAGTGTCTCTCATTTTCTTACCCAAAATGGAGGAATTTTGTTTTTCCTCTTAGCTTATTTTGTCTTCTCATTTTCTTATCGTTCCATTTTTCTTTTATTTTCCTCTCTAACCAAACAAGAATTTTTTTTAATCTCATTTTCTTTTCTTTTCCCTTTCAAATTCCTTGAACCAAACATAGTGTCAAGGCTGCACACATCTTTCCCCAAACCCCAACAGAGTTGGGATTAAACTGGGTTTGTTGTTGTTATCCTATGCAAACCAGAAGGGGAATGAGTGAATCCAAAACATATGTGCTACTTGCATGAAATGACTATTTTACTTTCCAATTTCCATACATCCATCTTCCATGTCTTAATGGGTGCTTGCAAAAAACATGTGATAGCCGGAGCCTGAGTTCCGACCACCTATGTCAGAAGTTGTTGAGGCTTTGGTGCGGCTTGTGGAACGGGCCAACATGAGCAGGAGGACATTCGGCACTGCGGATTCTAGGACCCCAAGGTCTGGCAGCTCCGATTCTAGGACACCAAGGTCTGGCAGTGCTGACTCCCAGGAGTTTGAGCCTTAGCTCCCCTGTAGTAAGCATTCCTTCTTAATGACCCCTCCAAATCTCAAAGNTCCTGGTGGCATTGTATCATAGAAGCAGCTCGTCGCTCTCTAATCTTGTTAATAGCACGCTCCATCCATCGACTCCCAGATTCTTATTTTTGTATGAGAATATTGTCAAGAGAATTTGCACTCTAAGTGTGTTATCTTTTGTCTTTCTTTAGACTACATATGCCTTTTAATCCTCTTATTTAAATGCTCTTTTTTTAGGCAGGGAGGTGGGTTTTTTTTAATCTTTAAGTGGTGCTTTTTCAAGCAAGAGAATGTTCATGTCATTGCCAGTTCCAAATGACTCCAATCTATGGACAAATGAAATATGAAGATAAAAACATAGAACAAAACTTTGGTGTATAAGTATGACTTTGTTCTTGGAACAGCCAAGATCAAGAAAAACAATGTCTTGAAAATCATCATATTCTTACAAGTGATACACTCGTGAACATATGAACAACCTTAATGTTTAACACTGAATCTTGAAATCCTCAAGTCTATGGATCTATGGTGTTTACCATTATTTTTACAGTTTTGGGCTTTTGTGGTTTGCAGACACGAATGACTTGAGTGTTTGCTCTGTATACAATAAAATTATGTCCATCGCAATTTACTTCAATTTAAGTTCAAAATTACAGCTCTTCAAAACTCCTTCGGTGATGGAGGGGCTGTTTGTTTCAACCTCTTAATGGTTCAGATGTCTGAATGGTTCAGCACTTAATGGTTCAGACAGCTCTGGAGATTTCAAAATTTTCTCAAGAATTATGCATAGTTGTGCTAGTCATATCCCAAAAGTTAGCTATTAAGGTAGAGAATCTTTGATTATATAAATCCCACTCCAATCCCCCCATTTGATCGATGTGGGGTTACTGTTTAGCCTGTATCACAATTGTACTTACAATGATTTCTAATCTAATTTGATCTGATTAGAGCTTGTTCTTTTCCTCACATCTTATTGGATCTAAACTAATTTTATTAAAGTCTGATTTGATCTGATTATTGTTATATTTGAAGTCATTTTTGATCTGATTTGATTTCAATAAGAATAATAGAGTATTTGACATTGAGGTGTTTTTCAAAATTTAACTTTTGCTTTAAGTGATAATAATCATTTTATTCTGTTTGATATACCAATTTCTACTTTTCTTCACTATCATTTTATAAATAGAATACCATTTCAGAAAAATAAATATATGTTACTTTTGCTTTCAGCTTTTGTGAAAATCACTTTACACACAAATTAATTACTCCAAAACACTCTCTAAATAACAAATAACAAGAATAAATTGAAGAGAACAAGGTGTGAGAGATCATATATCCAACCTAATGTTCTTTTATTTGCATTTTCTCCGTAAAATTTTCATTCTTATACTCCTTAATACTCTTTATGTATAACATATTGCTCATCAAAGTGTTACATTGGCAAAAAAATTAATAAATAAGTTATACTCCGTAAGTGACATGGGCTATCAAAACGGGAAAATTGGCTACGCTAGGATCCCACAAACATAAAGGCAAAGAATGGGCGAATGGCTAAGACTGCTTTATCTCTACCTTCTGGTAATGCTAATCAGCAAAATGCAGCACAAAACTCTGACTGTGCTTTCAAAATCCCGCCAGATTCCTGACGGCGATACGTAGCCCAGTTGTCGAGTCCTAAAAGTGTTTGTAAGTGCGGGGGCAACTCACTCGTCGTCTGCAATAAAGTTTGGGAGTTCACCTTGACAAAGATACTCGTCACACAAAGATGCCGAACCCCAGCCTTTCCGGAGTCTTAGAATGTCCTCGGTGAAGGTGGACCCCGGAGATCCAATGAACACAGCAGACAAAGCACATATTGTCTTGTCTAGCATTGCTTCCACCTTCAATGCCAAAATAAGTGTGCTTAAAGGGTAAGAACAGTAGGAAACAGATAACGTTAAGTCAAAGCAAGAACAGTGTTTGTGGAAAAAAGAGAAGGTTTAGAAACATCATATTTAATCATACACCTAAACAGACCCCGCTGTCTTCTCCATCAGACATACTTGTCTTTTCTGCCCTAAATTTCAGCAGAATTGCCATAGTTTAAACTATCTACTTCATCCGTCCCACAAAGAGTTTCACAGTTCGACTTGTCATAGTTTAAGAAAAATGGATCATTTAAATCTGTTTACAAAAAAGAGAAATATTTGTAGCCATATTTCGTTTCTTGATAAGGAAATGAAAGATATGTAAACTTTATTTTGGGACACACGAAAAAAGAAATTGTAACAAAGAAATGAATCTTGGCATTGGATCGCAAATCTAACTGTCTCCTACTCTCCTCAAGAGTTTACTAATTATCCACTTTTTTCACCAGCAACTAACTTATTTAACGCTACTATCGAAATCAGGCTATAATAAAAGTAAGGTAAGAGTTAACTTTTTGGCTGAAATGTATGAAATTGATGCTTCTACCTTTGAAAAGAATAAATATCTCGAAATTATTTGAGCACATATTTCAAATAGCTTTTAGAGCAGATTCTGCCAATTTAGCCACATTTTCAGCAACTTCGGCAGAACCAGCCACTTAAGTCCTTTACACATTGATATCAAAAGCATTGCACAGGTAGGTTGTAAGCTTACCTGAGTGTCTCCCTCAAGGCTATGCCTATATAATAAAGCATCCCATTTTTCCGCTGAATTACGAGCAGGTCTTGTAACAAGAGGTACAGTCTTCCCATTGAAGACGACAAGAGATTGAAGCAAACCAGTTTCACTTTCAGCAGCATCCGTAGATAGATATATTACTGGAGAATTGGCCCTCTCAACCACACGATTGATACACTCTGCAGCTTGAGGAACAGGGTAGAAGCAACTTGGTTTCTTGGCATTGCTGATGATTTGGCAAGTGTTATTAGCAACAAAAAAAATGAATATTTATCAAATCATATGAAGCTCTAGCCGCCATCCACAGGATTAGGTGTATTTGGATTTTGGAGGCAATATGATGCATAATAAAATGTCAAACATGGTAGGTTCAGCAAAGTATACTGTCCAGCATAGTATTTACTATTAATTTACTAAGTGGCTGCATGGTAATCCTTTTTTCTTGGCTCATCAGCTCATGAAATTTTCTTTTTACCAAAAGGAAAATTATTTGACTAAACGCTCTGAATTGATTGCTAATGGAAAATAATATGGTTGGACGTAGTACGTTTTTTTTGTTGAAAATTCTGAAATTGCTAAAGGTGATCATTTTGGCCTCTATTCAATTTTTTTCTTTATTTAATCAATAAATTATTTTTTGAATGTTTTTTCATGGTTCAGCAATTCCCACAACTTTCATCATATCAGCAACTTCAGTAATATTCCCACAACTTCCATTATATCAGCAACAACTTCAGTAATTCCAGCATGTTCCACAAATTTCGACGCAATTCACTCCTGCCAAAAGTGCTCTCATTCTCTAATTTCCAGATTTCTTAAATAAAATTAAACAGCTTTTCTATGATTTCTTTCTTGCCTTTTAAAGTAATAGTTTATACTAAAGTTAAAGACATTCCTTCAGGAAGATTAAAAGAGAGTTTCTTAAAAGAAATGGTTTCCAACAAAGGGAGGAGAACATACCAAAATTTTAGGAAACCATGTCTACGGAAATGAAGAGCTATGAAATTGTCTCCCAGAAATGTCTGAACAAATCTCTGAGCAGTGAGCACAATAAGACGGCTGGGCTCAATTAGAGTTTTACATCCGTGGGCAATGGGACCACCTGGCTGCATCACCCAGTCTCTCTCAACATCCGCGAAGAACACATCGCCTATAGCAATAACAGCATCGTCTGAAGAGAACTTGGAAATTATATCATGGATGGTCCTTTGTATTGGCTTCTTAACATCCTCTTCCCAAGCAGTCTCCAGCTTATTCATAGAAACTCCCGAAGATTTCAACTTTTTAATCCGTTCATCATCCACGAAACAGGGTTGTGGCTGGGAAAAGTAACAAATGAACCTCTCTATATGCACATGGTTCTTCTGACTTTCTGCAAACTCCTCATAAGCCAAGACTACTTTTCTCCCAACACACTTGTTGATGTGCTCAATATCCAACACCCTCTGAAACTCATAATCGACTTTCGAGCTTGGAATAACCAAAACACGATTAAGTACAGCTGCAAAAAACATGTGCTTCTCCAAACAAATCAAATGATTCGACATTTGTCCGGAGACACAAATGGCAAACAAATACTTATTTGATTCCGGCTTCCACTCAATAGTTTTCCTCTCAGACCATCCCTGATCAACCTTCCCACACCTACCTAATCCGCCAATGCTTGGGTCAGTGAAATTATCCGATGACAGATCCAATGAATTCCCTAATTGATGTGATGACAGAAGAACTTGTTGAGTTTGCTTATTCAATGAGATCTGACTTAGCAAATCCGCTCTCAGATCATCTAAAAATAAAGCCAATTGACTCCTATCATTTCCAGCAGGACTCGAACTCGAATTCCCCTTACTAACAACAGCATCGGATCTAGTTAGATTCCCAAACGTATGGTTCCACAGCTTGAAAAGCCCTAACTGCTGTTGTCTGAGCATATACAGCGCACGCAACTCGGACTCGCGCATGCGACTAACCGAAGAAGAGTCGAAGCCAATATTAGAGACTCCAGTTCGAAAGACGCTTTTGATGTCTGTGGTGATAAAGACGATGAGAACGAAAAGCGGGAGAATGACGGCTAATAAGTACCTCTTCCGGCAGCCGAAGCCCAACCGCGCGGAGTCGACGAACCGGTTGTTTATGCCGTCGATCTGGAAGGTGGACGGGGAAGGCGATTTCGCGCCGCTCCGCCGTTCGCCGTCTCCGATTAGGTTCTGCCGATCATCTTCGTTGTCGGAGGAGGTCGCTCTGTCCATTCTGCCGATGACGGGAATCAAATGCGCATCGAGAATTTGGATGTGTGAGCTTTGATTTCTTCCATACGATTAACACTCTCTAGAGTGGGTTTATGAGGTTGCAGCTGAAGAGTGTGAATCAAGGAACGGCGACGGAACTTATCATTGGTACTCCTCCGGCTTGAGAATTGTCTGTGAAGGAAACTGATCATCACATGCCTGATTTTGACCCGCCAACCCACGAATGCCCTGCCGGGTCATTCATCTCTTGAGTGATCATGGATTCATGGTACAAAATTTAGGTCCACATTAAAATACTTCATCCGTCCTGAAGTATTCGTCCAGTTTTGATTTTTGTAACTGCTCATGTAAGCACTTTGATGCATTAAATTCTCTCAATGTGCAAGCCTAAATATAATCATGTGTGATCTTGTTTGATTTGTCTTAACATATACTGTAGATTATTAATATATAATTTCTATAATTTTTTAACATACAAATTACAAG